CCGTGAATTCATGATCAAGACGAGGCGACGCAAAGGGCTCAGCGAGGACGTCTCTATCAACAAGTTCTTCGACGACCCCATGTTGCTCGAGCTCGCCAGACAAGATGTACAACTCAATTAGAATTCCGCATTTACATTTTGTGTTTTATATTTTATTTTTAAATAGTAATAAATATTTTTAAGAAATCTGATTATTTTTTTCAATTAATAGATTTATGGCTTTCCAAGCATTGCAGTCGCAGTAATAAGATTTTGGTGATAGATTATCTAAATGTGTGCAGTATCATTAGTAGTTTATTTATAAAACAAAATTTATTTCCCCTTTGTATTTTCTGTCACCACTTCAGATTAATGGCATGATTGTTTTAGAAGTTCTATCAAGTCCTTTACTTAATCTTTGTTGATCTATATTTTATTCGTTACTCTTTGGTGCGTTACGTAAATGTCAACTGTCAAACACAAAAACGAAAAAAGCAGAGTGATAACGATTTTCTTTCTGCCATTTCTCAAAAATACTTGCTGCGAAGAGTGTTTTAAATTGTTGGTCAATTATTGGATCTAACGTTAAATAATACTTCTCCGTATAAAAATATGGAATCTAAAATTTTACATAGTAGCTTGTCTATTAGATAACAGTGTAGATAAACCGTAAAATCTGGAAAATATAACGATGGAGATGGATGAAGACGAACATGTCGGCGCAAATGGTGATCATTTCGTTCACCGCTTGAAAGAGTTGACGGCTGAAGAGAAACAACACTTAGAGCATCAAAATTCACGTATAGTTCCTGAAATTAAAGCAATCAAATTAGAGAAAGACGCCAAACGACACTGGGATATTTTCTACAAGAGAAATGAAACAAAATTCTTTCGTGACCGGCATTGGACAACACGTGAGTTTCAGGAACTTATTAACTTCGATTCTGATGAGCGCATAACTTATTTAGAACTTGGCTGTGGTGTTGGAAATATGGTATTTCCATTGGTCGAAGAAGGCTTTTCGAACTTTTACTTCTACGCATGTGATTTCTCCCCACGTGCTGTTGAATTTGTAAAACAAAATAAGTTGTACGATGAAAGCCGAATGAAAGCATTTTGTGCCGATTTGACTACGGACAATTTATTTGACAATGTGGCTGAGAGTAGCGTGGATATTGCGAGTCTTATTTTTGTATTATCGGCCATTCATCCCGAGAAATGGATGCACGTAGTAAAGGTAGCGTTTAGGGCGTTGCGGCCCGGGGGCGTGCTATTATTCCGAGATTATGGTAGATACGATATGGCACAGCTACGTTTCAAACCTGGACATAAGATATCTGATAATTTTTATATGCGGCAAGATGGCACGAGGTAATTTTCTATGATTTCCACTATTTATTCCACCTATGAATTATTTTACAAAATTTTAAAAATCCTTGGCACTTGAATCAATGGAATAAAAGCAACTTCTATTACAGGAGTTATTACTTCACGGAAGAGGAGCTTTCTGCACTATTTGCAGACGCTGGCTTTGAAATAATCATGAACACATATGTCCAACGGAGAACTGTTAACTTCAAAGAAGGAATTGACGTGCCTCGCATCTTTGTCCAAGGGAAATATAGAAAACCAGTTACATGTAAGATATTGACATTGTTTTTAAAGAACACAATGTAAAAAAAAATATTTTAAATGATGAAAAGTGCTAACCATTGAAAAGTAATGATTTTGCATGTATATTAGCTCTATCTGAATAACATTTGTGTTCATTAACATGTTTACTTTTTGTTAAAATGCTAATTTAATAAAATTTTGTTGCAGGATGGATATTTGACCATGCTGTGAAAGTAACTTAATTGTAAGTATGAACTATCTCACTCCTGCATCTTTACTGCTATTCAAATTTGTGTTTAGTCAACTCTTATGTACAAGTAACAGATATGTGTAAATCAGCTCTGAATAAGTTCATCAGATCACCTCTGTTTGAGTGATGTGATGTACTAGAGGCAACAATTTGTACTGTCCAATAACATCTTTCACACAAATCATACCTCTATACATATTGAGCTGATCTGGTAGCCAGTGTACTGATCTGCTTTGCCCATGTTAACCATAGACTGCAGGTCATTAATTGTTGACTAACCCATGGCTAGTAAGAATAAAGTTAATCTGGCTTTATGCAATTACTAAACACAGTTTAATCATTTATGATGACAGCGCAGTGCAGCTGAAATTACCTCACAATAGGTGCTTTATTCTAGCTTAGGGTTTTTCCAAATTTTGTAGTATTGTAATTTTTTTTTGTAAATTCTGGTAACTTTGTCATGTATTGTAGAGTAGGGCCACTAATTGTGAGGGTTGATGCCAAGCTTTGCTTAACAGCGATCTGAATCAACTTTCATATATGTTCCTATTATTTGTACATATTAAATTACTAAGAAATATTTTATTTTGTTACAGATCCAGTGTTAAAGACAACTGGTTTTGGTAAGCAATTTGAACTCGCTGCATTTTTTATAGATCTAAATTTGTTTTAAGTATTCACTCTGAGATTAAAACTATAGTGTATTATGATATGTATTTTTCCAATAATTTTTAATGACACATTTGTTTTATATATTTTCAAATGTTAAAATTGTATTGTTTGAATGTTTATTATGATGATTTCATAGTTCATCTGATTGCTATGATGTACTACTATTATGTCTTTCGCTCCTATCTGATTGATATTTTAATTAAAACTAGAATAATATTAGTTGGTCCTTTATATTAAAAATAATAATTTTTGTAGTGTACAGTCAATGTCTGTGACTGCGGTCGCTCTAGCAGGCAAGCGAAGCTGTTATACAGTGATTGTATACATGGTGTGATGTTGGTAAGCCGTAAAATACTTCACAGACAAGAAAACACTTTTTTTAAGAATAAAAAACTTGACAATTTATGTCTGGATATGAATGTTGATGTAAGTTGATTTAATTCTTTAGATAATACTTGTTAAATTTTATTAAAAGTAAATGATGATTTCATAGTTCATCTGATAGCTATGATGCATTACTGTTATGTCTTTCGCTCCTATCTGAATTTAATTAAAAAAATATAATATTTTTCTGTTATAAAATTATTTTTACGAAAGATTTTTTGTATTGCAGAGTAACAAATGATGATCCAATTCAAAAATTCTGTTTAAACCATGTATAACAAGCCATAATAAAGTTTAATGAAGATGCAGGTGAGGTTTTAATCTTTTTTTCCACAATTTCATAATTTAGAATTTCCATCTTGTGATATATGGGTTGCATTCTGATGATGATTTTAGATAGGGACATCTGATTATAATGCTGTTATCATAACTATCTACACTGATATCTTTCAATTATATATCTTTTCCTAGATTTTAATAGCATATCTAAATTGTTATTCTTACATTTCAGTTCATAATAAAACCTGCAATGATTCTTCAAACATGGATCATCATAGGTGAGTTACACAGATATCTAAAAAGAAATCTTAAAAAGTTACCTACATTTAGTTGTCAAGTTTGTCATATATGTTGTTATATTATCCTTCTAAAACAAAAAACAATGTAGTTCAGGAGCCAATTTTTATTTTATCGAAATGATGACTTTTGATAGGGACATCTGAACAATTATGCTGTTAACACAACTATCCTCACTGATCGATAATTGTATTTGCAACAATTAAAATTAATTTAAATTATATTACAATGAATTCTTACTCTTTGTTTCAGATTGTTTGCCAGTCCAGATTTGTCAAAGGTATGTCTTTTTTAATTATAAAAATTAACACATTAAATGCTATTACCGATGAACTTAAAGCATTGTTTTGGCATTTAAAGTGTTAAAACTTCCGTTAACTAAATGATGACTGCATAGTTCAACTGAATATTGATGAACACCACATTAACGGTTTCCGCTGTCTGAATTTACTTGGTTTATATACTTTGTAGTTTGTCTTATTATTATGAAATATTTATTTTACATTGTTACAGATATGATATTGAGAAGAATTGGAAAAGGATACTATCCTAGTATGTAAGTTTTTGCTTTTTTAATATTTTAGATTTGGCTTTTTAAATGATGACTCGACCTTCAGGTCTCCCTCAACAGAGAGAACCCAAAACACCATGTTGACCAACAACGCGTCTGATTACGTTTATACCGTTTTATAATTTTTTAACTCCATTTCTGCCAGTTACAAAGAAATTTCTTTTTCAGGATGTGGATCAATAAATTGGAAATAAATCCCCCATATGTAATAACAATTGTAAGTATAGTTTTGTTTTTCAAAAGCAAATAACCAAACTACAAACCATATTCTCATAGCCAATTGAATTAAAAAAAATGTCAGTGTTGAAAAAACACAAAACTAAGTTTTGACAGGAAAAAGTAGGATTTTTTAAGAAAATAATTATATGAATATTTTGAAAATTATTAACTAAGATGGACAGTATAGAAAAAATACTTTTATATAATAGAATTGAAGGTGATAAAAATTTAGATGATGACTTGACCTTCAGGTCTCCCTCAACAGAGAGAACCCAAAACACCATGTTGACCAACAACGCGTCTGATTGGATTTACAGTTAATAAACTTAAAAAATAATCTACTGATTAATAAACAGAACTATTTCTTTTCAGATATTCTTGAGGAAATCTGCTAAAATAACAATATTGCTTTACAAGTAAGTTCAGTTCAATAATTGTTTTTAAATAATGTTACATTTTAGTAGTAAAAAGCATTTATGTCAATATTTGAGCGACTTCCCAAAAAACGGAGGTACTCAATTTGTTTGTAAGTTTTTTTTTTAGTTTAAAGTAATTTGTTAACTATCATTACATTTATATCTGAACTTATGACTTTTAAAAACTTAGTAGCCTATGCATTCTTACAAGAATACTTCTATGCCAAATTTCTTCCAGATCTTTTCAGCCATTCTACAGTTATATGGCAACAAAAATCCTTCCATCCCAACTTTCACATTTATAATAGTAGTATTATATGATGACTTGACCTTCAGGTCTCCCTCAACAGAGAGAACCCAAAACACCATGTTGACTAACTAAACGCGTCTGATTGTATTTTTATCAAAAAAACATTTTAAAATAAAATTTACATTTGATTAACTATTGTTTGTCTTTTCAGATTATGCAAGAAAAACAAGAGTATGTGAAGATGGATATATTTTGAAATGTAAGTGTTACTAAATATATTGGTTAGTTATTTTAATATTCAAATGATGACTTGACCTTCAGGTCTCCCTCAACAGAGAGAACCCAAAACACCATGTTGACCAACAACGCGTCTGATTCAAGTATATCTTTATACACTATTAATTGCTTATTAAAATATTTTAATTAATTTTGTTTTTTTTTACAGGTAGAATAATTTCAAGTATTCATGATTGCGAGTAATATAAAAAAAGTAAATCACAGCCAAAATTACTATTAGTGTAAGTATAAATATACAAACAATTATTTACACATTTTAATCAATTTTTACATCTCCTTATGTTATCAGAAAGTGTGCAATTTTGAAGTAATCTTGTGAACCAATTGCGTCTAGTTTACTTAGTTAAAAATTTCGATAATTCTGGAATCTGTGTCTGCGATCCTATGAGAATGCACTAATTATGTGTGTTCTCTGTAAGTCAGACAGAGATCACAGTGGTTTAAACTGCCTGGGACATTGTTAACATGTCTTCGGTTATATGAACTCACTACAAAACAAATATATTTGGTACAATTTATAAGTTAGAGATAACTGTCATTAAAATTATATATTTGTTACAGAAATTGCGATGAGCGTTCCCGAATGTGCAAGATCCACTTTTCATTATTGTGCCAGTTGATTGCGTCGACGCGTCGCCAAAACTGCATAGACAGCAATGTTACATTTTGAATCAAATAAATTTTGATAAAAAATTAAATTGTCTTTATATTACTTCCTTTTAAATCCCAATTTGATACCTACTAAAGGACTACTACCTGAGGACCTAATAAAAGGAATTTTGGTTGTTTCAACTATACGATTTTAATTAAGGGCCTGGATTAATTGCTGACCAAAAATTCTCCAATATTGTTAACAAAACTACGTCCACTATGTAAATTGATGTCTTTACAACTTTTATAAAGTCCACCTCGTATGATAAAATCCTGAAGTTGTATCATTTTAAACAGTAAACAATCAATAGTATATAGCTAAATAGTAATGTTTTCATATCAGAGATTTTCGAAAAAGGTTTGGAATTCTGGCCAACTGGAAACTCAAACTAGCAAACGACCCGCGATTAATGTTAAAGCCATAAGATGCGTGTAGGTCTACATATTTTAATATTTTGGAGTACATAATGGCAACATTCTAAAAAATAGAATATAGCAACATTGCATTGTTTTGCTAATGTCACTGTCAAATATAAGGTCGTTGTGTATTTTGTATTGAATCGAATTCCAATATAATTTGTGATTTTCTTTTTATTTTGTGTAACTATTTGGTACAGTAACTTTATAATTAACTCTATACCATTTATTAACTCAACCTAAAAAATGGCTCGAGGCAAGGATAAGAAAAAGTAAGTTTTAGGTTATCACGTGTTGTATTTAAGATTTTCTTTTTTTAAAAAGTAATTCTCTTGTTCAAATAAATATTAACTTATTTAAATAACTTAATTAAATAGTTTATATGTATTTAGTAACTTCATTTTGCTTTGTTTGAAGTATTATAAATTAAATCTTTTAGGCGTAAGTTGGAGAAGAAGCAAGAGGGTGATGATGTTCCAAAGAAGATACCGCATACTCTGGAAAGTTTACGTGAGAAAGATGAAACAATGCTTGCTAATGTTGATGAAGAGGAAAAAGAGGAGGTAGGTTACACTAAATTTATGTAAATTTACTTTGTTGTGTTTCCAAAACAATCTATAAAATTTACTTAACTGTTACTTAATAATGTAGCAATCTAATATACAGGTAAATTTAAAACTCAATGCGAACTTGTTTCCTTCCAGGCACAAAAAGACATGGAGTTGGATGAAATGTCCTCATATTTCCAAAATGCATATGAGCCTAAAGTACTCATCACATATTCAGACAACCCTCATACAAAGACTCGGATATTTGGCAAAGAACTTATGAGAATTATACCTAATTCATTATCTAGATATAGACAGAGGTAAGCAACATCTATACTATTATAATAAAGCGTAAACTCACACTTCTTTGTTAAGATAAGTTAAGCCTAAGATGTCAACAATTACAGCATATTTTTAAATAATTCTTTTTTTAATAAAAAGCCCTACATTTACATCACACTTTAGGCTATATATTTTCACACCATTAAACTTAGAGGGTAAATATTTTGGATAAAATCCTAATGTGGGAAAGAGACCGTAAGTTGCTGCCAACATCAAGGAAGCAAGATTGTCAGGGTTTGTCATATCATGTCATTTTGTCATTTGACATGTAAACAATAAAATAAACTTTTTATAATTTAATGCGGATGAAGTCGCATGGGAACAGCTAGTTTATAATTATACAGAATAACAGTAACATAGTGAAGTGTCTTCAAAATAAAAATAAAGATAGATTTAATAGATGTAACAAAAGGTATGTTTAAATCCGAACAAAAGAGAGGTTGTCATTTCTAAATTGCCCATTAAACAGAGCCTGCATAGAGGAAGAGTAAACAGCATCACACTTCATGCAACTCTGCTTAACAGTTTCTGAATACAAGGTTAGGTATCACAATTCGCTGAGATTCATCCCAGATATCACCAGCCTAATATAGGGGTTGTTTTTCAGCAAGCTGGATTGGTTAGTAATCTATGACAACCTCCACGCTAAATACCTGCTAACTTTTGTATTCCGAAAACCATAGTACTAATAACATCCCAATAGCATCAAAACTGTCATAATTCAGATTTGTAGCTTTAAACCAATAATTTTGATTATAGGTCCTCAGTAAAACGTATAGTACAGTCAGCAATAAGAGAAAGTTACACAGATGTAGTAATAGTGAATGAAAACCAGAAGCAGCCCAATGGGTTCCTGTTGATCCACCTGCCCAGTGGTCCCACAGCACACTTCAGACTGTCCAGTTGCAAGATCACACCAGAACTGAGGAAGGATTACAAAGAAATCACTAACCATAGGCCTGAGGTACTTATATTGAAATTTACATAAAGATGTAACATAGATGTTACTTGTAAGTGTTGGTAACTTAGGGGTTAAGCTTGACTTTGTAATGGTTGTGAGTTCTGTTAAGATGGTGTGCTGTAGGTCCTTTAAAAAACATATACTTTGTCCACTATGAAATTTATTGTAAAAAAAGGACTTACTGCTACTTCCTAAAGGAGGTACTCAATTTGTCTGGAGGTTTTTTATGTATGTTACCACATTTCCCTGCCCCTTGTGGACCGATTTTAGAATTCCTTTTTTTATTGGAAAGGTAGTGCTTGTAGGTGGGTCTCATTTTTATAACATTGGAACCGATAGGGTTATTGATGTAGCGTTTTATGCCAATACTTGTTCAGTTCGAATACCGCCGCCTGCTGTGTTTCTCGATTTTAGAATTTCATATACCCATAATTCACCTGATGTTCTTAGAGTGAAAATACTGTGATGTCGGCACATATTGAAATTCAATAATAATGTTTATTTACAGGTGATATTAAACAACTTCAGTACTCGCCTGGGGCTGACAGTGGGCCGCATGCTGGGCGCGATGTTCCACTACGAGCCGCAGTTCAAGGGACGTCGTGTTGTTACCTTCCATAACCAACGGGACTACATATTCTTCAGGCATCACAGGTAATTTAACTAGATATAGCCTGTTTTTGTTCTTATGACATAAAAAAGCAGAGCAATGTACCATTCCATAATAAACATTGGTTTTTACCCATTCCGTAATTCTATCCTATTTGAACTCATATTTTTTAGTTTAATATATACCTTAACTTTTCTATATAAAAATACTAGTTTTCGCCCGCGACTCCGCCCGCGTGGATATAAGAAAACAAAAGTGAGTAGCCTATGTGTTCTTCAAGACTATCCTCTACGTCTATACCAAATTTCATCGTAATCCGTTCAGCTGTTTAGGCTACAAACTATAACAAACATCCATCCATTCATCTAAACTTTCGCAATTATAATATTAGTAAGATTAGTAAGATTAAATTAAAACCTACAGATATGAATTCACGTCAGACGGCAAGCGCGCCAAACTGCGCGAGCTCGGGCCGCGCTTCACGCTCAAGCTGGTCTCCCTGCAGCAAGGCACCTTCGACTCCAAGCACGGAGACTACGAGTGGATCATCGCCGGACGCAGGCACATCATGGAAACTTCCAGAAGAAAATTCTTTTTATAAAACTGAAATATTTAAAGAAATCTTTGTTAAACGAAATAAAAAAAACATCTGACCAAAACCAAGTTGTTTTTCTATCTGTAGTTGCCAGAGACAATGAAATATTGTTGTTTTGTCTATGAATCTTAACATCAACAACATAAGTGTTTATACAGAATAAAGAACAATGGGGTAAAATGTATTGGTTACTAATATTTTCATATTTCAACATTAATTTTGTAGTATTATTCATTCTTACCAATATTATAAATGCGAAAGTTTAGATTGATAGATGGATGTTTTTTAGTTTGTAGCCTAAACGGCTGATCGGATCTCGATGTAATTAGGCATCGATGTAGATTATGGTCAGGAAGAACAAATTGGCTACTTAGTTTTTTTTAACTCCACGAGGACGGAGTCGCGGGCAAAAACTAGTTACTCATAATAGTTAACCTACAATTATTATATATGCCAAATGTCAAACACTTGTATGTTGTTTTTAAAATGTTACGTCTGCATGTTCAGAAATTAAAACAAATAAAGCTACATGAAACAGATTCCTGCTTCATAAACGCTGCACCAACGTGTCTCCAATCTGTCAGACATTAATGATTGAATGCAGACTGCAATAAACTAATTTATAGCGACCAGTTGGCTGTCATCAGGCGATGCTAATGAAATTTAGGGTGGGGACACACGTAAATATCGATACTGTATAACAAAAAATGTATATACTCTACTCGATATTTTATATAATTTTTTTTTCGACACACTTTATATAATTTCGTGGAAAATGGAGCATTCGACTAATCTGACTTTATCTTCCTAGATATATGGAAATATAAAGATACCAAATAAGATAATATACGTTACCGCTACTTTTTATAACAAGTAGGACAACGAAAAAGTAAGCAGAATGGAACACTATCCTAAAATACTATTATTGCAATAAAAATATCGATAAATCATCGACATCTTTGGCACATCACTAGAAGCTACGTCGTTATTTCATTCAGTAGTAATAACGGACTATTTTTACGATGTAAACAAGCTTATTTCAATGCAGATGAAATTAAATTCTAATTAGTTTATACGTTTATAAACATTGACACGAAATAAGTGCTTGTGATTGATTAATAAAAGATTTTAACACTTATAAATAAACTCCATAAAAACCTTCCGATATTCAGTTTTTTTCCTTTACAATATCTAACGACTGCTTGAAGTGTAATTCAGTACCTTATTGAAATTAAAATATTTCGTAACCATCCTCAGTTACCATGAATCGAAATTACACTGAAATCGTTACGCAAATTGTATTCAAGTTTTTTGTTATTTATATTTGGTGACCTGAATAATGTATTGTTTCTTTCTAAATAATTTACGTCATGGAAATAACACTCCATTTTTCTTACTTTTGTTTATCATTAGTTAACTTTTTCTAAAAATGACATAGAATTAGGGTTATGGACTATTGTAGAAGTGATCACTAGCGGTTATGATGCCTACCTCATAGTCTACTAAAGTGTCTAGGCAATAAAGTCAAACATGTAAAATGCTTTTTAGAGCGGACAAAGACAATGACTCAGGAAGCAGTCGCTAGTATTGATGACGTCATCTAAACGTTGAACAGGGTTGCATCATCGCGAAATTCTATTGTTCTTTTTCCCAGGTAGTAGGAAATAAACTAACGCTATCAACATAAGATAAGTATTGACGGTTGAATCTGACGACCATTTGATTTTTGCTTTAAAAATGTAGACACGACGGTCGCACTGACAAACAACGAAGACCACCATTTGTTAACCTATAAAAAAACGTCAAGTGACAAAAATGACGACCATTTACGACCCTTAACAAAAAAAAAAGATCTCCTATGGCTTGTTTGACTCCACTACTTGGTCGCAACATTGATGTCAACTCGTAGTAATATGCACTATAGAAACATGAAGAGGTGGCTTGACATACGATAATATTTCGAGTAATTAATGGAAGATTTCTGCAACCAGAGTTCGATTCGTATTGGTACTAATGTCCAAACATCTAGCGCTTCGTATTCGTGCTACGTGACACTTTCGTAAACACGTTGCCGTGACAACAGAAACACGTATCCGATCGGCGTGACAGAGCCGGTCGCGCCGCGCCGTACTTTGTTATGAATTATTCAAGCTCAATTAAAACAATATAATAAGCAAGCTTATAAACTGAATTATAATTACAGTAGTCCTACCAGTTTGATTTATTAAGAACGAATCTTTTGTTTATACATATGTTTAAAATCCCAATAAAATTTCATTATCTGTGGTGTTTCGATTATTTATTTATTAGAATACTTATGGTTGAATTGTGTATTAACCCTGCTTCTTCTCAATTTAATTAGCATTATATGATTTTCTAACAGTATCGAAGAGAACTTTTTCTGATTTATATATGCAAGATCGTCACAGACTGATGTTAAATCAAATAACAATGATTTCATATAGAGGAGTAAAGTAAACGACGTGACACACGTTTTACAGTTTTTGCCGTGGGTATCCAACATTGTGATATTTGTCAATCTATCTGAAAAAAAAAACGCTTACGTCAAAAAGAGTTTGATTGAGAGAAGCATCATTGTGTAATCTTACTTCTTACTATTGCGATAGTTTGCATGGATGGATGTTTGATAGTTTGTGGCATAAACGGTTGAACAGATCTCGGTACAATTTAGCATAGTCTGAGAGAACACGGGCTACTTAATTTTGTTTTATTAATTACACGCGAAGTCACGGGCGAAAGCTGGTTAAATAACCTTTCGATAGTTTTCTTTGTATTGAAGTTTGAGGTCAGGATGTAAATAAATATAAATGTTGACTAGAGAGTTGTTATCTATTCGTGACGGTGGCGGAAGCGTCAATTGCTCGTCGCCCTTGACTGCAGCGCGTGTAATTTGCTTCCCGCGTCACTACTTCGAATGCAGTTATGACGGATACGGGGTCGACAGAGTATTGTGGATTCTGTTGGCATGCTTTGATCGATTATTGTAACTTTTTATTTTATTTTTTAGAATTATTCTTTTTTAACAAAAAGTTTTTAATCTCCTGACGTATTTCTTGTATATTTTTACGTGTATCTTACTATTTTTAACCCAAAAAATTTGAACGTGTATGATGGCAACATATTTTTGTTTAGTTTAGTAAATAAATAAGGACTGTTTACGGTCTAACAGCCTCTATTGAAGATGCGAAAATACTTTTGTCGCGTTAACTTAGTGACCGCGGTGTTAACCGGCAAAGGGCCAGTGCAAACAGCCCGACTTGCATTGTGCTCGACAAATCGTTTGTCCGACACAATGCGCCACTTCTCAGAACATTGTTATTTGTTCTTCGCCCGTGTCCGAACTTAAACAAGGTACAAAAGAACACACCTTACACTATGGTAACCAATTACTATACGGAAAAATAAGGATAATATCTCTTTAAATGTAATCGGTTTTATTTACTTTTCAGAGCGTTTTACTACAAATGTAGAATTAATTATTTCGATTTATAGTTGAAACATAGTAATTCATTCGCTTTATATAAACTTATTTTTATGATTAAAAGTCTATGGTGTTGTCTTAGATATTTAACAAAGCTGGTAACCCTACAGAGAAGGCTGTGAGTCGGCGTTATACAAACTGGTCAGGCTTTACAACAGGTCGGCTCCCACGAAGCGGTCCCCGGAGACGTGATGTACATTTTAAAACTCTTCCCATCGACTATAAGATAAATTATTTTGAAAAAAATCATTTCAATATGGTAAGCGTGGTAACAGAAGTATATATGGTAATAAAACATATTGCTCAACAACATTACTGATGTACGAAAAAAACATATGTGAATATAAATTTAATTAGAAAAGACTGCTTGTGTTTTTAAATGCAAGATATAGTTTTTCCTCGAAATAACATAAAGCCATCACAGATAATTTAATTACATACAGACATATTAAGTATAATCGAATACCGTTAGTTATGATGGAACTTCGGATTATACCTGAGTTTATTACCGTAACTGCCGTGTTTCGTGTTTTTTAAAGGGTTGACAATATTTTTTTTTTCGAAATTGTTAGGTAAAACCAAAGAGTAACAATTGCTATTGTGGATCAGAATAAGTATAAAACTGTAAGTAAACATGTAGGTATAAAACTCTTAAATTAACTATATATCCATGTATATGTTTTCTATATCTCGTTAATTGACTTTCATAGGAATTAAAAAAATATATCTTGTATATAAAAGGTTTCACTCATTTCTAATTAACCTAATGATTTTAATAAATTTAAACTTCTTGTTATCGCTGATTAAGAGTAATTACCCATTTCATGAATTACCTGTAAAGTAGGCCTATTGATATAATTACCTATCTCATTATTTCTACTTTTTAAAATGTTACGAGAAACTTCACTAAAACATTTGAAAAGTAACAATTTTACAGTGACATCTACTGTCAATATTACTTAAACTATGATACCACGTGGCTGCAATAGATGGCGTTACGTGTTTGAAAACCAGAAAATCACGGATGCAGAGTTGCATCCGTATATCGTCGTGCAACGCGCATTTATCTTTGTTTTAGTTCAGTGCAAGAACAAAGTAAGATTATAAAATAATAAAACAACATAAATGTAAAGTGGCAGTAAATATATTCAGAAAATATTAACCATGATCGACTCGATTTCATCCGTAAAAAAGTATAGACACGTTATCATTAGTATACCTTACAATATTGTCTAACCATTGTCAATAGTAATCGATTTCTTAATAATAATTCATTATTGCTTTATACAATATCGTATCGAGTAAAACATTCGATAACAAAGACGTTACAATAGATAACTATCTAAAACTTAGGAATAAGCCAACGGCCACTCGGTCACCCTCATACACGTAAACACTTAATTTAGATATAATAATAATTACATATCACAATGAGACGTCCCTTCAACGTTGTTCACTCGCACACAAATAATACAAAAATTCAAAAACGAAGGCACGAGATCTACCTACATCTACGACTAAATGTAAACATGCCCTAAAA